TTTTTGATCCAGGAGAAATATTACTGTTTTCAACCCGGACCATGTGGCGGATGGCTTGTAAGAAGCTGAAACTGTTGATGGTCAACACCCAAACCAACACACTGATAGTGAGGCAACGTCGGCTGTTGTTGGGCAGTGGCGTTGTGCTGCGCTACACCAGCAGACTGGCGGAGAAGAAATACCACCAAGGTGTGTAAATCAGCGCAACGGAAATTGCCTCCAGAAGTTGTGGGCGCTCCATCGCTGGAGGTTTTCCAGAAGAGACTGGACAATCATTTGTCTTGAATGTTGTAGGATTTCCTGCTTGAGCAGGGGGTTGGACTAGAAGACCTCCAGGGTCCCTTCCGACTCTGTTATTCTGTATTTTTTTTTCTCGCTCCGCAGCCTGTGATAGGCAGCTGTTTGGTCCCCGGGGGCTCATCCTGAATCCAGGACCGTCACTGGATGGGGAACGACAAATGGCCTGCAGGATATTTATCGATGTGGCGCCCCACCTGCGCATTGCCATCCATGCGGTGTATGTGGAATTCCAAACCACAGGCAACGAAACACACTCCAGCTATATCTCGGTAAGCATGAACTGGGGTACGGATGCATTAGAACATAGAATCACAGGGCTGGGAGGGAACGTGGAGGTCTTCTAGTCCAACCCCCTGCTCAAGGCCAGAGACTTTGTATCGTCTCAGATAAATAGTTGCCCAATCTTTTCTTGAAAGCCTACACATAGATAGATGATAGATAGTGGATGGAGGGATAGCTAGGTAGATAGATAGACGATAGAAATAAATGATAGAAATAGATGATAAATAAGATAGATAAATGAGATAGATGAGATAGGTAGGTAGGTAGGTAGATAGAGATAGATAGATAGATAGATAGATAGATAGATAGATAGATAGATAGATAGATAGATAGATAGAAAGATAATGGATGGAGGGATAGATAGATAGATAGATAGATAGATAGATAGATAGATAGATAGATAGATAGATAGATAGATAGATAGAAAGTTAATTGATGGAGGGATAGATAGGTAGATGATAGAAATAGATAGATGATAGATAAGATAGATAGATAGATAGATAGATAGATAGATAGATAGATAGATAGATAGATAGATAGATAGATAGATAGATAGATAGATAGATAGATAGATAGATAGATAATGGATGGAGGGATAGATAGATAGATAGATAGATAGATAGATAATAGAAATATAGATGATAAGATAGAGAGAGATAGAAATAAAGATAGATAGAAAGATGTGTATGTGTTTGTGTGTGTGTGTGAGAAAGAGAGAGATAAAATAGCAAAAGGCAGACTGAGCGAGCATCCTTTCCTCTCCCAGATTCGAGACGTCGAATCCTTGAGGACTACCGTCTTCCATGGGAACCGTCTTTTCTACTGGGAATCCATCGGCAGCCGAGCCGAAATCGAATTCAACCAAGCCCTGGCCAATGTCAGCTTCCGAGCGGAGTACTGGACCAACAAATAATCCTTTTTGGAAAGGGTTGATGTGGAAAAACATTGCCAAGGAGGAAATAACAGAACAGTTGGAAGGAACCTTGGAGGTCTTCTAGTCCAACCCCCTGCTCAAGTCGGGCAGGAAAGCATCACGTTCCACCTTTCATTGGCCCCGAAGGTGCCTCCCCATTATACATGTTTTGTTTTTGCAAAAAGCGGTTTGTCTTCTCTGGGTGTTTCTATCAACCTACACAAAGCTGGACTGGGGTCCTACCTGCAGGGTTGTCGTACAGGGACTCAGCACTTGAGCATAAAATTAATCCCTGCGGAGTAGCTGCTTGGTGAAAAAGTGCCTTTTAATAAAACGTCTTACGTAGTTGGGGGGAAAAAAACCCTGCTTCTAAATTCTGTCTAGCTATCATTGGCGAACACAGTTCTCCTGACTCGATCATGGTTTAAACTCGGCTCATCTCAAAAGCGACAGTTGGCATTGGCAGGAAACGTGTAACTTGGTTAGTCTCCTCTACTCAGGAATTCCTGTTTGTTTAGGATTTGAGGGATCGTGGATACTCGGACAAGGGGGTAAATAATGGTGTGAATGCAGCTAGTAAGTACCAATATAAGAGAATATTTGTAGCTTAAAGTTGAACTGTGGGGTCCTTGCTGCTTTCTGAGCTTGACTTTCAGTGCTAGCACTGATGATGTTCCCTAGTTGGGTCATGAAATGTCTGCAAGAAAACCACCAAGCTCAGAGGGTACCAAGGACCCTGCAGTTCTCCTCCTCCTCCTCCTCCTCTCCCCACACCCCACTTCTTTCTAGCACTGATGATGTTCCCTAGTTGGGTCATGAAAAGTCTGCAAGAAAACTACCCAGCTCGGGGAGCACCAAGGACCCCACAGTTAATGGGGGTGTGAAAAAGTGCAGGCTGTGCCATCTCTGGGTTTTTTTACACTCTTCTTATCTTCGGGGCAGGGAGAGTAAAAGAGCTTTCCGCACTTTTGCACGAGAATTCTGGATTTCCCAGAGAGATCTGGAGGGCCTTTACTACCGTTATCATCAATCAGCTTTCACTCAATCTGTAAGTCGTGAACTGCCAGGGCAAGCCCTTTTTTTTCCTTCCAGAGCTGACTTAATTTAATTTTTTTTTTAAAAAAAGTATATCTATTATTATGGGTCTGTGCAATCGGGTGCCGGGCCAACTAACTTCAAATGGAAAAAGGTGTGGGGTGCGTAGAAAGTCACAAAACAAGCAAGGAAGGGTGAGCTTTATCGGAGCATCTGTGCCTCTGTTGGTCCATTTCAGCTGAGATGGGAAGGGGGGAATCGAGGCGGGCAGCATCGCCCTCTCTGGCCAGGTCAGTCTTCACATCTGGGGCTGTGTGCCCAGCTTTCTCCCTGCCCTCTTTCTGCAGTGGGGAGGGGACCCAGCATGCACTGCAACAGGGAGCAATGTGTGGGGAAGACTCAGCTGCTGGAAAGGGGGCAGGGCTGCTTGCTGTCTTTCCATTGTCCGCCAGCCAGCCGGCCGGCCGGTGGGAAGCAAGCCCTGGCTGGGCACCAGGGATGCACTGAGGACTAGCAGCGTGGCCAGTCCATCTCGCAGGGGGAGGGAGGGGGAGGCAGGATGAATCCCCAGGAGGAGCAGCCCGAAGCCGACGGGGCACCGGCTGCCACCCAGGACGATGGGATGACCTGGTGGTATAAATGGCTGTGCAGGCTGGCTGGCATCTTAGGAGCCATCTGTGAGTATTCTCTCCTGGGACCAAAAGAAACAAAAATAAACCAAACAGGTCCTGCTGGGACTTTTCTTTTGTGTGTGTTTGTGTGTGTGTGTTTGTGTAAAACGATCTGTTTTGCACAACCAAACAAGTGTGCATTCCTTCGGTCTCCACCTCCTAAATGTCGATTTACCTCTTTGATGGAAACGCCTAAATTGCTGGCTGTGCTTTTCCCAAAGGTGCGTAAACTGGCTTGTGCTTGTGTCTGCTCACAGGCGTGTGTGTGTGTGTGTGTGTGTGTGTTTGTGTGTGTGTAATGATCTCTTTTGCCCAAGCGAAGGCACGCACCCCTTCCCTCTCCGCCCCTGAATGTCGATTCCCGATTTCCTAAGGGGTGAAAACGCTTTGCGCTTTTGTCAAAGTTGTGCGAAGGGATTGTGGGCTTGTCTGTGCGCTCGTGGGCACGTGGAAGGATCCGTTTTGCACAAATCCAGATCCACACATTCCTCCCCCATTTCTCACCCCCTAAATATGGATCACCCATCGGCGAAAATGGCAATATTGCTGGCTGTGTTTCAGCCAACGTTGTGTGAAGTGTCACGGGTTCCCATCAAAGCATCTCTGGACATTTTGAAGCTTGAGTTGTGGGCACTGAAGCCTCTTTCACTTCAAGGCTGCCTCCTCTGCCGCCCCTTCCCTCTTTCTCTCTAGTACAGGTAAGTCCTCGACTTAGCAACAGTTCGTTTAGTGACTGTTTCAAAGTTACAACGGCACTTGAAAAACATGGCTCACGGCCGTTTTTCAAAGCTACGACCTTTGCAGCATCCCCATGAACATGTAATCCAGGGGCTTGGCCACTGACTCGTATTTATAATGGTCGTAAGATGGGCTCAATTGGGCTCAATTGGGGCCGTAAGTCGAGGACTACCTGTATTTTGAGGTAGGCTGCCCCTGGCTAAGGAGGTTCCACTGACCCTATCAAGACTTGTTTTTAATTTGTCTTTCTAACTTGCTGATTCTGACTGCTCTCGACAGTCTCTCCAAGCCACTGAGTTGGACAGGACAAGGCCCATGGGTCTTCTGGTTGGGGATGATGGGAGGGGTCACCCAAAGCCCCTCGAAGGGGTCACAGGATGGGAAAAAGCCCCTGCCAGACTTTCTGTTGTAAAAAGTTCCTCCTCTATATTTTTTTTCCACCACATTCAGCCTATAGAAATGTCAGCGCAGCTCGCCGTCGTTCGCATTTTTGATATTCCCTGGAATATGCGACCGGAATCACAATTTAGAACCCACAATGTACACAGTTGGACTTTGTCCCCTGCGTTGGAAATTGTCCCATTGTGCAAACCGATTTGGGCCCTCCTTCTTCAGGTCCAAAGTCCAGTTTGCCAAGAGTAGCTCAAGACACACCTCTTAACTCGGGTGCTTCTCAACTTGGGAAAGGTGTAGGCTTCCACTCCCAGAATTCCTCAGCTGGCTGGGGAATTCTGGGAGCTGAAGTCCACAGGTCTCCCAAGTTGCTCAGGTTAAAAAACACGGATCTGAACGTTGCTGGGAGGTAAATAGGAGAATGCTAAGCCTTTTTTCTACCTGTCTTGAGAGACGGAGGGCAAAAAAGTATATATCCAAATTTCATGTTTACCTGTCTCTGGAGACCCCATAAGGGCTTTAATTTAATTATTATTATTATTATTATTTTGAAAAGGGAGACATGTTAATTGTCAACTTAGCCATTGGCTCAGCCTGAGCAAGGCTCAAACGTCTTGAAAAATATCGGGATTAAGTTACTTGGCGAGCTGCACTAAAATGGAACGGATGCTCAGGTCAACGGAGAAGATCGTGTTGCAAAGATAACGTAATACAATCATCACCTGGGTAGCAGGTGACCTGCCTGGTTACTCTGTCTATAGGGACAATAAAAAAGGGACCTTTTTAGCCAATGGCAGCCTCTAGTCGAGCGTATCTCAGGTACTAAGTCAGATGGGGGTAAGTACTTGGAGGGGACACCATCAGGAAATCCCAGCCTTCGTAGGCTAGGTCGGAAAGTTGGAGAAAAAAAGCCCTCAATTAATTTCATGACATTGTGGGGTCCTTGGTGCTCTCTGAGCTTGGTGGTTTTCTTGCAGACGTTTCATGACCCAACTAGGTAACATCATCAAGGCTAGTGAGTTCCATTTATATACAGCAGCTGTGGGCTTGGTTGTTTTCTTGCAGATGTTTCATTACCCATCTAGATAACATCATCAGTGCTAGAAGGGAGTGGGGTTTGCAGAGAGGGGGAGGAGGAGGAGGAGGAGGATGACAACTGTGGGGTCCTTGGTGCTCTCTGAGCTTGGTGCTTTTCTTGCAGACGTTTCATGACCCAACTAGGTAACTTCATCAGTGCTGGGTAATGACCAAGGATGATCATCAATGCACTGATGATGTTACTTAGTTGGATAATGAAATCTCTGCAAAAAAACCCCCCAGTGTTAACCACGTTAACTAATTTAAGAACTGCAGTGATTCAACTCAAAAACTGCGGCAAGAAAGATTGAAAAATGGGGCAAAACTCACTGAATAAATTATCTTGCTTAGCAGTGGAAATTTTGAGTTCAACTGTGACTATAAGTTGAGGACTATCTGTAACTCCTGTGTGATTTTCCTTGCCCTCAACTTCTTCTTCATTTCTTTTCATCCAGCTTGTGCTTTTTCCGGTCTCTGGATGTGCCTGACTATCTACCCTCTCAACATAGTGGCCGGAATCTGGATGATGTAAGGATAAAGTCAATTTTCCAGGTCAAATTTGGGACTGGATTCACCCATTATTTGTTTGCAACCCTTACTATCTGAATACGTTCCTGTCAATAGCCACAAAGCAATGGCTAGGAAAGTTACGACTATCAGATAAAGATTTTTTGCAGGGGGAAATTCAGAATTTTGTTACTCTGTATGCTGTGACCGCAGGGAGAATCTTTAACACGTGCAAAACTGGAAAGACACCTCAATTTCTACAACGGAAGAACGGGTTGAAAAATTTTGGAATTGGCCAAGATGGTAAAATTAGCTATTTTAATTAGGGGGGGGAGAAAAAATGTAACTAGCTCACTTCTGGACTTCTGCTCGTAAGAAATACAAATGAAAGCTGGGTTTGGCTTTTTCAGGATTAAATGCTTTGTTGTTACAGAAATGGCTAGCGCTTATTATTCTTACCTCCTAAGTAAAAAGTTGAGATTATAACTTTAAGTAGGCAATTTGCACCCCCCCCCCCAAAAAAAGCTGGAAGTTGCCCTGTTTTATATTTATTTTCCCTTTTTCCTCAACCGATTTTCCCCGCAGTCTTTATTTTCATTTGTATTTTAGATGAAGAAATATATATATATATATATATATATATATATATATATGAATGAAAAATTATTTTTAGAAAACTACAACATGCTGGCTAGAACAGGGAGGGGTTCCCCCCCCCAAGAGGAAAGATGCAAGAGGATAGATGAGAATTGCCCTCAACTGAATCCAGTTTCTTATTCCTAAGGTTGAACGCCTTCATTCTCATTTTATGTGAAGCTCCCTTCTGTTGTCAGTTCATCGAATTTGCAAATGTTGTCTCGGCCAGAGTAGACAAGCTTCGTCCGTGGCAGAAGGCAGTTTTCTATTGTGGGTGAGTGTTATCTTTGTGTTATCCTTGGCCTTAGAACATAATCTCACTTTTGAAGGGTTCTGAAGGTTTAAACTGTACAATGAGTGGTCGACGGAACTAGCTATGTCTAGTCTAACGAAGAGAAGGACTAAGGGCGACATGATAGCAGTCTTCCAATATTTGAGGGACTGCCCCAAAGAAGAGGGAGTCAAGCTCTTCTCCAAAGCACCGAAGGCAGGACAAGAAGCAACGGATGGAAACTAATCCAGGAGAGAAGCAACCTAGAACTAAGGAGGAATTTCGTAACAGGGAGAACAATTAACCAGGGGAACGACTTGCCTCCAGAAGTTGTGGGTGCTCCATCACTGGAGGCTTTTTAAGAAGAGACTGGACAGCCCTTTGTCTGGAATGGGATAGGGTCTCCTGCTTGAGCAGGGGGCTGGACTAGAAGACCTCCAAGATCCCTTCCGGCTCTATTCTATTCTAATCTTTGAGCCATCTATCTATGTGTAGGTTTTCCAAGAAAAGATTGGACAACTATTTGTCTGAGATGATATAAAGTCTCTGGCCTTGAGCAGGGGGTGGACTAGAAGGCCTCTAAGGTCCCATCCTGCCTGGTGATTCTATGTTTGTATGACTAGTCTCAGATGACTTGCAACGACCGAGCATTTCAGCCTGGCCTCTTTTGCCCAGAGAAACCTTGATCTGATTCTTGTTACTTCCAGAAAACTTTGGGGGAATGGTTTTCCTAGATAGAAGTAAAATAATTCCAAGTAAAATAATTCCATTTGTTTAGCAAACATTCAGATTTTGGGATTTGCTGAACAACTGCACGATTCGCAAGCGATTTGCTTAACCGCAATAACAAACGGGGCCATAGCCCCACTTTTTCAGAAAGGGGGCTCACTTTGGTCACTAAGCAACCCGTCGCAAGTCAAGGACTAGCTCTACCCCGTGGGGCTGATTTCTGGCTTCAGAATATCCGGCTGGCAGCCAGCTGAAGGTTTCCCAAGTCACAAAATTAGTCTTTATTTCGCCAATTTCTTTTGTGTTTAATCTCTTTCCTGGCTAAATCGTGGTTTGTTTTTTTTTCTCTCTCTCTCCTCCTTTCCAGGATGGCTGTATTCCCGGTTATTCTAAGCCTGACTTTGACCACCTTGTTCGGCAACGCCATCGCCTTTGCCACGGGCGTGCTTTATGGGCTGTCTGCACTGGGTAAAAAGTAAGAGGTTTTGTTTTCCCCACCTTGGGGACATTAAAATGATCAATGTTTTCAGTGCTGTTGTGACTTCGGTCACCAAATAAATGGTCGTAAGTCAAGAATTACTTGCCACTTAGAATAGAATAGAGCTGGAAGGGACCTTGGAGATCTTCTAGTCCAGCCCCCTGCTCAAGCAGGAGAACCTATACTTGTGAGAGTTTGGCCCAATATTTTTTTTCTCCCCTTCACTAGATCCTTACCTATCCCAGATGCCTTACAGGTGTGTCTTTAAAGTCTAGAGGCTTCCCCGCTCCTGTGAGCATCTGACTGTGTTCTGCACGTATCAGCAGTTGTACGGAGTGGTGTCTTGACACCTCTGTTGTGTTTCACAGGGGAGATGCCATTGCGTACGCCAGGATGCAACAAATTCAACAAAAGCCAGCCGGCGGCGATGGGACGACGGAAAACGTGCAGGCCCAGTTGGTGTGATGCTTTCACAACACTTTTTGAACCAGTCTCTTCTGGACACTTCAGCTTGTGTACTTTGAAATGCTTCCAAAATTAATTCCAGGATTAAGGGACTTTTTTTAAAAAAAAAACCAACAACGACGCCCTGAATTTCTGCATCACTGTGAATCTTGATATGCTGCAGTTTTTAAGGATTTAAAAAAAGGGCTTTGTCTTGTCTTCTCTGACACCTCCCAGCCCTGCTTAATATCTCAAGTCGAAGTGGAAGCAAGTCAGATGAAATCAAGAAAAATCTTCCCAGCGTGGCGGTTTTCCGAAAAGATGGAAACCTTTGGGTTTGGCATCTCAAATTTTGAAGAGTTGGGCAGGAGAAATATCTTCCCTTCCACGGCTTTTAAAAAGCTCTGCCTCTTTCCCACTTCACAACTTGGACGACAAAACACAACAGATGTGGGTACGTGCAGGGGGAAGAATGAAATAAGGGACATTTGAATCGGACGGCCAGGAACCGTGTGTTGCGGTGATGTCCAGCCTTATTTGGGGGTGAGCATCGCAGCGCGTCGAACGTCCGAAATTAAAAGTTGCAGTGAAAATACTCTGGAGATAAAAAAAAATTACCTGCTGGTGACCGCATCCCTGTCACTTTGATTTCGAACATAAATCCATCTTTGGTTATCTTTGGAGAGTCGCAGAATCAGGAAAGAAAGGAATCAAGTTTTGAAACTGGAGCAGGAGGGAAAATGAATTTTAGCTTCAATTGCTTTTTTTTTTTCCTTTTTTTCTCCTCTGATAAATGTACACTGGGGGCGTCTCTTTGCGCTCCAAAGTTTGAAGTGAGTTGGGTGTTGCTTTTTTTTACCGGTTCTTCAAACTTTGGCAAAGCATTTTTGGGTGGCTTTTTTGGCGACTGGAGAGCTGCGATTTCATATTGTTAGAAATTAGTCAGGTGTGTGCTTGGCTGTGACCGAAGATTTGTTTTCTTTGCGGTGTTTCTTATTTCCTTTGGGGATCTTCCTTATTTGGGGATTTTTTTCAGCAGCCGTTCCCACATTTGGAATTTCCTATCACAGGCTACTTTCTCCGAAACACCGAAAAAGAGAAGTTTTTTTTTTTTGTAGCTGAGAGTCAGGCTGAGCCAATTCATCGCATTGTGAAAATGAACGGGAAATTCCCAGCCGCTCAAATATTCTGTTTTTAGGGGGCACCAAAGAAAGACTGAATTTCTTACCTTCTTAGTAAAAGGGTAAATGGCTGTAAACCATTTCAAATTCTTTGTAATTGAAAAGCACAACACTTTGAAGGGAGGGGTTTTTGGGGGGGGGGGGTTGAAAGGGGCTTGGTGCATTTTCCTGTTGTTGGTTTTCCAATCTGGAAAAAAAAGGGGGGAATTTATAGAGTTTTGGCCCGTTTCTTCATTAATCACGTAGCATCTTTGCTGCTTTGTGATATATATATGTATAAAAGGCCTGCCCTCCCTTGCTCAGCCAGCAACTTTGGCTGAACAAACCTAAGATTTAGTGGACATCAATTTGATCTGTTCCTTTGATCTCCTTTGTGTTGTTTTCGATACAGGTGGTTCTCGGCTTACGACACTTGAGCCCAAAATTTATGTTCCTAAGCGAGAGAGTTGTTAAGTGGGTTTTGCCCCATTTGATGATCTTTCTCACCAGTTTGCAAAATGGTTGTTAAGCAAATCCAACTTTCCCCTTGACTGCGATCGTCGTAAATACGAGTCAGTTGCCAAGCGTCCGAATTTTGATCACGTGATCCTAGGGAGGCTGCAACGGTCGCTAAGCGTGAAAAACGGCCGTAACTCCCTCTTTTCAGTACCGTTGTTAACTCTGAGCGGTCACCAAATGAACTGCTGTTAAGTTGAGGATTACTTGTGTTAGTTTTCTGGGTTTTTTTCCCTGTGGGTTTACGGTTAACTTATTATCGAGAAAGTTTTATTTATATATACGTTGAGACTTTATTTGACCTTTTTTGTGATGTTCGTTTAGGCTTGTGATCTGTTGCGGCATGGAGATTCTGCTTCTTAATCCACTGTTTTTTCTTCGCCGGAAGACAAAAAAATGGACTTATTTATATGAGGAAGAGAAAGGAGGTGTTAATTTAGACTGCAGTCTCTGCCTATTTTATTGACAAATTCAAATTTTCTCCCGAGTAGCATTACTCAGCTCCTGGGTGGCATTATATGTAGCCCTCGGCTTACGGCCACAACTGAGCCCCAAATTTACGTTGCTAAGTGAGGCATTCGTTGATTGAGTTTTGCTATGTTTTACGACTTTTCTTGCCAGTTGTTCAGTGAATCACTGCAGCTGTTAAACTCGTCACGCAGTTAAGTGAATCCAGTTCTCCCCCCCACTTGACTTTGCTTGGCAGAAGGGATCACGTGACCTCGGGACTCTGCATAACCGTCATAAGTACGAGTCAGTTGCCAAGCGTCCGCATTTTGATTACGTGTCCACGGGGGGATGCTCCAGTGGTTGTAAGTGTGAAAAGTTGTAGATCACTTTTTTTTTCAGTGCCATTGTTAACTTTGAATGGGCACTAAATGAAAAAGTGGAAAGTTGAGGACTTTGAACAAGTATGTTGCAAGAAAAGCAGTTCTACCTTTGCAAAAAAATAATGGCTCAGAAGCTGGTTTCGCACTTCAGGGTAATCTTGGTTTGATTCTGTTTTAAGCTGGGCGCACCCAGCTGTTGGAACTCAGCCAAATGGTGCTTATTCCACTCACCAGAGTTTAACTAACTATGGCTTAGTAGTCCAATGGCGAGATTTTGGGTTCTGCACCAGCTTTATCTCATTTAGACCAGCAGATTCTTTCCCCTTATTTTATAAATTCTATCAGCAGCTCAAGTGGCTTTATGGGTTTTTTTTTTCCCTGTGCGGTCTAAAAAGATAAAATGCTGGTCTGTAGGAAAATATATATATATCAAAGAGAGTGCATTTTTCTTAGACAATCTCTCTTTAACTGCCGTTTTATAAAACTGACTCTTGATGGGATTTCTTTTGTGGATGCAGTGAATAAAAATGATGGCTCTACCTCTGGGAACGGGGTGTGTGGTTTTAATGCCTTTTTTATAGCAATTGTGTGCATGCAAAGAGGTCTCCAACGTGTTTTTGCCGAAATCCGAGCAATTAAAGCCCAATTTTGGCTGTCCTTCAGAAAGAAAGGACTAAAACCTTTGCTACTTTAAAAAAAAAACAATGTTTTGTCAACCTTTGCTATAGAGTCCCCTTACGAGTGTTAACTTCGTTTCTATTCCTCCAACAGCATTAAAAAAAAAATCAACTTCTAAGTTTCTAGCCCTCTTTGTTAAAGGGGAAAATTTTGGGGGGGGGGGGGGAAAGGATCTCGGTATGTATGAGGGAATGCTTGAAAAACCTGGGAATGGGTGCAAATTCTCTGGAATTTTTAATCCACAACGCTTTTAACTGTCTTTCTATTGCTCTCGAGTTTTAACGAAGCCTGTTCAGGTAGCCCTCGACTTACGTCTGTCCGTTTAACAACCGTTTGAAGTTACGACAGCACCTGATGACCAGTCCTCGCGGTTACAACCGTCGCAGCATCCCAACACGGTCGTGGGATCCAAATTCAAGTGTTTGACAACCGGTGTGTATTTACAACAGTCGCAGCCAAGTCGACGGGACAAGCCGGATTCGCTTAACGAACATGATTCACTTAAAAAATGGCAGCGGTTCGCTTAATGACCGTAGGGGGGAGAAAGGGTGGTAAAATCAGACGCAACCGTGCTGACAATTGCCTCGCTTAGCGATGGAAATCCTGGTCGTTAAGTCGAGGTCTTTCCATGTTATCCTCTGTTCTTCACCCCGTCTTTCTTGGAGGGTTGAAAGCATTGAAAGACACACACACACACAAACACACACATAAGTTAGAGCTGTATGTAACGTATCTGCCAATAACGCCAGCGACAAAACCCCTTGAATAGATTCCTTCAAACGGCTCCGTAGAGCCTAACTCCCCAACTGGGAACCATTCCTTTCTTTTGGGACTGGTCTTAAGAATACGATCTTATTATTATTTTTTATTTTTTTAAAACAAAAAAACAACCAACCTGGTCTTCTCAAGGCCCATGCTTCATGTTTACGCAGCACTATCATTAAATCGCGATTATCAGCCGTTCTTAATCGCGGTCGGAGCGTTTCCACACGGCCGCTGGGGAAGGGATCGATGGGATTCAGATCCAGAACGTTCCCCTTTTTGCTTTGGATCCCGACGAGATTGAACGTGTCAGTTCGTCGCTCCCGGCTTCGTTTCGGAGCCCTTCAAGGATTCAAAGGAAGGAGAGAGAAGACGAGAACCGGCTTGGATAGCGACGGGCTGACGTCCACCGGACAGGGCTGCGTTCAGCATCCAGACTGGAGGTGGGCTGAGGGGGGCTCAGCTGTGGTGCCGGAAGGATTCCAGGAAGGATTTACGCCCCGTGCGGAAGTACGACTCGATCCGTTCCAAGGATTTCCCTTTGGTTTCCGGGAGGAGGTAGGTGAAGACGAGGTTGATGACGCAGATGGCGCTGAAGAAAAAAAAGGGGACCTCCAGGCCGTATTTTTCCTGGAAAATAGAACAAATTGGTTGTTAACGTGATCAGGTAGGAAAAGTAGAAAAGTACTGAGGGGGGAAAACAAACAAACAAACTTTAAACCAAAACGAGACAAACTCCATTATGGCTTAGTTGCTCTGTGGTGCTGTCTGAGCTTGGTGGTTTTCTTGCAGACGTTTCATGACCAACTAGGGAACATCATCAATGCTAGAAGGGAGTCGGATTTGTGGAGAGGAGGAGGAGGAGGAGGAGGAGGAGGAGGAGGAGGAGGAGGAGGAGGAGGAGAACTGTGGGGTCCTTGGTGCTCTCTGGGCTTGGTGGTTGTCTTGCAGATGTTTCATGACCCAACTAGGTAACATCATCAGTGCTAGTAAGTGTAACTTGCTTCCTGTTTACATACAGTAGCTCTGAGCTTGGTGGTTTTCTTGCAGACATCTCATGACCCAACTAAGTAACATCATCAGCGCCAATGAGTGCTCCCTGTTTACATACAGTAGCTCTGAGCTGGGGAACAAGAAACCAACAAGCTCAGAGAGCACCAAATATTCTGCCGTTCAATTCTGAGCTACAAATATTGTCTTCGATCGCCTGTTTTCATTTCCCAGATTAGCCTACTCCCTGGGCATTTCACAGTGGTCTCTTTTCCAAGTATACCGTAAAGCAGACCCACTTATAACAGACTGGCTCTAGTTGCCCCCCCCTCCCACGGAGGAAAGGAGTAGATGATTAAACCTACAGATAGATACACCTTCACCAGGTTCTTACCGTAACCAACAGAAAGGCTTTGGTCAAGGCGAAGGCAGTCAACCAACTCACAAGTACACAGAGGCCGGAGACCACCCCTCGCGCCTTCAGGGGAAGGACCTCTGCCATCAACAACCACGTAATGGGACCCCAACCCATGGCGTAGCCTGGAAGAAGAAGAACCATTGAATCATCAGAAGCAAAGGGGAAACTAAGGTAGTCCTTGACTTGAAACCATTTGTTTGAAGTTTTGGATCTCATCTCCTATCAGATCCACGTAGCAAAAGCAATAAATTTGGGGACTGATTGTCCCAAAAACCTTATCTAGGCCAAGACTGACCATATATGTCTCCTGGCCACCTCCCATAACCCTCCAGAGAAGTGCCAGAGATTTGATCTAAAGTCCAAAAGTTGGCCCTCAACTCTTCTCGACCTACCTATGATGAAGAACATGGTGGCCACCAAAGGGATCGCGGTGAGGCCCACCATGGAGGGGTCGCCGAGGCCCCCGTGGGTCCCATTCGCCGCCACCGCTGACGAATTGTGGAGAAGTTGAGGGATGAAGCGGATGTAGACGCCCAACGTGAGGTTTGAGGCGAGCATCAGGCAAGCTACGGTCGCGGCAAAGAGAGAGAAGGAAACACATCTTGAAGCCGACGCGGGAATCCCACTTGCGGCATGGTTATTCCTGAATTAGCCACCCTCCCCTCGCCCGCACAGGCAGTCCTCAACTTATAACCATTCGCTTAGCGACTCTTTCAAGTTACATTGAAAAAACAATGTGATTCGCAAACAATCCTCACTGTTACGACGGCTGGAGGATTCCCCACAATCACGTGATCAAAATTTGGGTGCATTGATGACGGTCGCAGCGTCCTGGGTGTGTGTGTGTGAGAGAGACGCGATCCCCGTTTGCCAGCTTCCAACAAACGAAGCCAGATTTGCTTAACGACCATGTGATCTGCAGTGATTTGCTTAGTGACGGTGGCAAAAGGGTCGCAAAATTGGGCCCTCAGCACTGAACGTGCTTAGCAATGAAAATTCTGTCCCCACTGTGGTCGTTAAGTCAAGGGTTGCCTGTATAGAGGCAGACGTGTGTCCACCCATCTGTGTGTGTGTGTGTGTGTGTGTGTGTAAAAGGAAGGACTACAAAACCCATACCAGAGACATACAGAAGAACCTTCCGCCCAGCTTTATCCATCGAGAAAGCCGCAACCAGCACCGAGGCTAAGCGAACGCCGCCCACAATAACGGCGTCATACTCCGGGGCCTGCGAAAGTCAAAATAATTGCTGTGAGCTGTCGATCAAATTGGTTGATTCTTTCAGTCATTTGTGATATGATCTTTTTTTTATTGTTTATGAGTCTTTCTCCTCTCTTTGCATCGAGTTTCCTCCCACCTGAGGGATACAAAAAACCCTCTAAAACCACCTGCTCATTTTAACGGCTGCCATGGTGTTTACAGAAGAAAAAAAATGACAGTAAAGGTGATCTTATCTCTATTTGGGAAATATGAAGAAGACTTTATTTATGCAAGTTTTGATTTATTTATTTTTTAAAAAAAGAAAGATATAGAGGTATCCTTCGGTTGGAAAGCGTGCCTCTGTAAATCTGAATAAAAAGAGGGGGAAAAATAAGAAAGGACGTGGCGGAGAGATTGAGATTAGGAAGAGACGGGATTTGAGTTGGCAGCGTTCAAATATTATGGGAAAATGGATTTTTTTTTGGCGTTTTGGGGTCAATCTTGAATACAGAATGAGAAACAGCAACACCTTGTTTGTTTTAGATAGAAAAAGATCATGGATGCTCCAACCTTGGCAACTTTTAACAACTATGGACTTGAACTCCCAGAATCCCCTAGCCAATCATGCTGGCTAGGGAATTCTGGGAGTTGAAGTCCATAAGTCTTAAAACTGCCAAGGTTGTGGAGGCCTCCCGCTCTGCAGGTTGACTTACCAGGATCACCTCCGTGCTGTCAAATATCAGCTGCAGGTAAACCAGGATTGGGGTAACCCCCGAAAGCTGCTGCAGGAACCTCATCAGCAAAGTAATTACGATAGGCTTGAAGATGTGAGGTTTGCGGATTTCTGCCCAAGTAATGGGTTGGCTCTGGAGAAAGACAGAAAGACAAATGGAGGAGAATATTCGGAGCTCGGGGTTGGCATCTGGGCTATTTTATTATTATTAATTTTTTGGGCAGATGTTTCATTACCCAACTAGGTAGCATCATCAGTGCTAGAAGGGAAGGGGGCTTGCAAAGGGGAGGAGGAGGAGGACTGTGGGGTCCTTGGTGCTCTCTGAGCTTGGTGGTTTTCTTGCAGACGTTTCATGACCCAGCTAGGTAACATCATCAGTGCTAGAAAAGAATCCATTGCAGTGCTACTACACAGTACACCTGACCTAATCAAATGCACTAAGATTGAAATATCCAGAACCATGGACCCCACAACCTCTGCCTTACCACCTATGTTCAATTTGACGGACAAAACCTAGCGCTGATGATGTTACCTAGCTGGGTCATGAAACGTCTGCAAGAAAACAGCCAAGCTCAGAGAGCACCAAGGACCCCACAATCCTCCTCCTCCTCCCCCTCCTCCACTCAACAAACCCCACTCCCATCTAGCACTGATGATGTTACCTAGCTGGATCATGAAACTTCTTCAAGAAAACCACCAAGCTCAGAGGTACTGTATGTAAACAGGAAGCAAGTTACACTTACTAGCACTGATGATGTTCCCTAGCTGGGTCATGAAACGTCTGCAAGAAAACCACCCAGCTCAGAGAGCACCAAGGACCCCACAGTTCTCCTCCTCCTCCTCCCCCTCCTCCACTCAACAGACCCCACTCCCTTCTAGCACTGATGATGTTACCTAGCTGGGTCATGAAACGTCTGCAAGAAAACCACCAAGCTCAGAGAGCACCAAGGACCCCACAGCTAACAGGGTCTGAATAAGTGCAAGTTGTACCATCTCTGGGGCTTTTACACTCTCCTTATCTTTGTGGTAGGGAGGACAAAGGGACTTTACACACTTTTATCTGCAAGCAAATAACCAATGAGGACCCCACAAAGACAAAATGGCCAGTCTGAACCACTTCCCACTCCACAAGGAAGTTCTAAAACCCACGGAGAGGCTTCTAGAAACCTTTTCGAGAGCTGAGAACTAACCAGGGTTTGGTGTTATGGGGGAAGCAAATGAAGATCTCCGCTTCCATATGTCTGTTAACCCCCTGCCCTCTTCTCTTGAACATGGACCTACCTGTTCCTGAACGCTGGCTTTGATCTGCTCGTATTCCCACCAATAATCCACATCTTCGCCTCTCAGCCACCGGAGAGCACCCAGGGCCTCGTCTTCCTTCCCCTTGGAAATCAGGAAACGGGGCGAGTCGGGCATGAAGATGAGGAGAGACATCATGAGAAGGATAGGGACTTCTCCAGCAACCGCCAGCCAACGCCAGGGCACCAGGAGACCTGTGGGGGGGAGGAGGAGGAGGAGAAGACAAAACTAAGGGAGATCAGTGTTAGTTCCACCAGGGAGAGCAGTCCACGAATTCAACTCCACAGGAAACGGCCGGTGGAAACGGTGGCTTACTACTTGCCTAAAGCGTAAAGGAAGAGGGCGCCCAAAACAGCCATGATTTGAGGACAGGAGCCCAACGCCCCCCGGATTCCTGGGTGGGAGATCTCGGAAATGTAGACCTGGAGAAGGCGAAAAGATGAAAAAGGTAAGTGGGAACCAAGGCCTCTAGGAGCCAGAGCTTGTACTCACTGCTTTTCTGCAGTTGGGTAGGAAGCCAATATTTACAGAAGGATAGAAAGGCGGAAAT